TGCCACTTCCGGCTTTTTTTCTTTTTGCTTATGTGGTGCTGAGGAATTGAACCCAGGGCCTCAGGCATGCAAGGCAAGCACTCTACCACTGAGCCAACTTCCCAACCCCTGGCTTTTTGATGGTTAATTGAAGATAAGAGTCTCACAGCAGGTAGTTCTGCCCAGGCTGGCTTTGAACCATGATTCTTAGATCAGCCTCCTGATTAGTTAGGATTACAGGTGTGAGCCACCAGTGCCCAGCTAGCCTGCAGCTTTTAACTTTAGACAAAGTCTTTAAGTTTGCCAAGCCTCCATTTCTTCCTCATGTGTAATTTGGAGATCGTGATAATATTTTGCTTGTATATGACTGTTGCAATGATTACAAATAGACCTTTTGAATTGTTGGACATAAAACTGAGGAGGCCCTCCGCCAATGATAGCAATTACTTCTGGGGTTGGGGACCCCAGATTCGGGGGGGCGGGCAGGGAATAAGTATGGTGGCTTTGAAAGCAGGTCATTCTCAATGTCGCATGGCACCCTGTTTCAGAACATGGAGAAAATCCTGATTCGCCCAACAGCCTTCAAACCAGTGTTGCCCAAACCTCGAGGGGCACCGACCCTGCCTAGCTTCCTGGGTCCTCGAGCTGCCGGGCTGTCTGGAAGCCAGGGAAGCCTGACACAGCTGTTTGGAGGCCCTGCCTCCTCCTCCTCTTCTTCCTCCTCCTCCTCAGCTGCTGACAAGCCCCTAGCACTGAGTGGCTGGACCAGCGGCTGCCCTTCAGGGACGCTGTCTGACTCTGGCCGAAATTCACTATCCAGCCTACCCACCTACAGCACGGGGGGTGCCGAGCCAGCCACCAGCTCCCCGGGCATGCACTTCTCCTCCCACGGGCGGGGGGCACTGCCTGGGCCAGCCCGAGGGGCCCCTACTGGGCCATCCCACTCCGACAGTGGCCGCTCCTCCTCCAGCAAGAGCACAGGTTCCTTGGGGGGCCGTGTGCCTGGGGGACTCTTGGGCAGTGGGCCTCGGGCTTCCCCTGATAGTTCCTGTGGGGACCGCTCACCCCCACCACCACCACCTCCCCCTCCTTCGGATGAAGCCCTTCTGCACTGTGTTCTGGAAGGACAGCTTCGAGACCGGGAGGCAGAGCTGCAGCAGCTGCGAGACAGTCTGGATGAGAGCGAGGGTGCCACAGGCCAGGTGCGGTCAGGGGTAGTACTGGGGCGGGTGAGGCACGGGGAATCATGCAAGGCATTTCTATAGGGGACAGAGTGGGTGGGCAATCACAGGGCCCCCCAGCTGTGTGCCTTGGTCTGAGAGTATAAAAGAGTCAAGCCTAGCATTGCCTTGTACCAGGCTTTTGGGGCTCAAGGAAGTTATCTAACCTTACTGATTTTTCTGGTTCCACTTATGAGGATTAAATCAGGCAAAGGGTATGAAGTGTTCAACATACCATGTAAGTGCCTGCTACCGTCACTACTACAGTCACTGGGTTTGTGGATGCTCTCCTTCCCTGAGCCCAGACAGGAGGCCACCAGAGAGCAATGAGTGCATGGGGGTAGCCAGGGCTGAGGTATGTGGGGGTTCTACCTTCTCACCCTAGGAATTCCGGCCAAGGCACTGGCCCCGAGAACGTGAGGACTGCACAGCACAGGCCCAGCAGGCCACACAGAGGGCACAGCGGACTCAGCAGCTGCTGCAGCTGCAGGTGTTCCAGCTGCAGCAGGAGAAGCGGCAATTGCAGGATGATTTTGCACAGCTGCTGCAAGAGCGTGAGCAGCTGGAGCGGCGCTGTGCTACCTTTGAGCGAGAGCAGCGAGAGCTTGGGCCACGGCTAGAGGAGACCAAGTGGGAGGTGAGCTGGACTGTGGGAGGGAGGCAGGCAGGAGAGTCACTCCGAGACACACTGAACAAGCTTCCTAAGAGGCTTTATCCTTCCTCGTCTCTGAGATGAGCCCCTCTGACCTCCTATCTGGATGAGGGTCTCCTTACATCCTGTGTTAGGTCTTGTAATGTGAACCCAGGCAGACTGACTCACACTCAAGACACTCGTGCCTCTTACTTAGACACGTGGACACTACCTTAATTGCGCCCCCTCCACAACACCTGCCACCACTTATCCCCAGAGCCACGTGGTATTCTTCCCCAGGATTTCATGATTCTTTGATAAGACCATCTCTGAAAGAAAAAGGTCCAGTTCTGTGTTCTCTTTTTTTATATTCATTCATTTTGTGCTGGTACTGGGGCTTGAACTCGGGGCCTAGATGCTGAACCTTAATCTTTTGTTGCTGTTGTTGTTGTTTAAAGTTGGCAGTCTACCACATGAGCCACAGCTCCACTTCCAGTTGGTTAATTGGAGGTAAGAGGCTCATGGACTTTCCTGCCTAGCCTGGCTTCAAACTGTGATCCTCAGATCTCAGTCTCTTGAATAGCCAGGACTACAGGCTACTGGCTGTATGACTAGATCTGTCACTAGGGTTACGCACCTCCATTTGCATCTCTCTAAAGTGAGGATAATGATTGCCATTCTTCTGCTTAGCGTGATGCCCAAGGCTCAACCTGCCAGAGAACTCTTCTCATCATCCTTCCTAACCATTTCTCATCCCCAGGTATGCCAGAAGTCAGGTGAAATCTCTCTACTGAAGCAGCAGCTGAAGGAGTCTCAGGCAGAGCTGGTTCAGAAGGGCAGCGAGCTGGTGGCTCTGCGGGTAGCACTGCGGGAGGCCCGGGCTGCCCTGCGTGTCAGTGAGGGCAGGGCCAGGGGCCTGCAGGAGGCAGCCCGAGCCCGGGAGCTCGAGCTGGAGACCTGTTCCCAGGAGCTACAGCGGCACCGCCAGGAGGCTGAGCGACTTCGGGAGAAAGCTGGCCAGTTGGACACAGAGGCAGCCGGGCTCCGGGAGCCTCCTGTGCCACCTGCTGCTGCTGACCCATTCCTCCTGGCAGAGAGTGATGAAGCCAAGGTGCAGCGGGCAGCCGCTGGGGCCGGAGGCAGCCTGAGGGCGCAGGTGGAAAGGCTGCGCACTGAGCTGCAGCGGGAGCGGAGGCGAGGTGAAGAACAGAGGGACAGCTTTGAGGGGGAGCGGATGGCCTGGCAGGCTGAGAAGGAGCAGGTGATCCGGTACCAGAAGCAACTGCAGCACAACTACATCCAGATGTACCGGCGCAACCGGCAGCTGGAACAGGAACTGCAGCAGCTCAGTCTGGAGTTGGAGGCCCGTGAGCTTGCTGACCTGGGCCTGGCTGAGCCCACCCCCTGCATCTGCCTGGAGGAGATCACTGCCACAGAAATCTAGAGCTTCATCTCCACAAGGAGCACAGCCCAAGAAGGTGGGAGCCATATGTCCACTCAGGCCCCCACTGAGCATCCCCCAACTTAAGAGTCCCAGAGCCAGTCCTCCACACCCCCCCCCCAGCCCCATGTAGGTCCTTTGGGCCTCTGCCAAGCATTAACGTGGCCCTGTGACTTGGAGAGCCAAGATCACACCCCTTGAAGGCCTGTGCTCATTGCTACCCAGAAGCTCCTACCTACTCTGCCCATTTCACTCCCCAGATGCTGCCAATGCCACTGCTAGCCATTGTCCTATTTGCCCGCCCACCCTAGCCAGGGGAGCTAGGAAGAGGAAGGGGCTCCCTCATCTCCACATTCCCTTCACTCCCAAAGCCAGAGAGAGCCAGATGGCACCAGCTGCTCCCGATGTGCCTGCCCCTACCCTGCCCATGTTGGGGAACAGGGCTGGGACTGGGGGCCGACCCCCCCATCCCAGCTCTGAAATCCTTGTTCTGGGCTAAGGGGGCTGAAGTCAGACCAAAGGAAGAACTCAGCAATGTCTTGTTTATTTGTGTTTGTGACCAAGCAGACCCACCCAACACCCAGGTTTATGGCCTCGTTTTCACTTGTATATTTTTCACACTGTAAATTTCTTGTACAAACCCAAAGAAAAAAAATTAAAAAAATTTTTTTTGTTTTTAAAAAAGGTGAACATCTGGGTAAACATCTGGTGGTCTGTTAGATCTCCACCCCTTCGTTTGTTCCCTTTTGAATGTGGGGGGGGGAGGGGAGGGAGGGTGAAGGAGGATGAGGAGAGGACCAATGACCTCAAAGTCTGAGGTCTAGTGAACCACAATATGAATTATTTCTCTGTGTTTGAAGAACTAGAAAAGTTTTCCATCATCCCACACATTGAATACTGCTTGGGGCTGCATGTGTGGACCCCTTGAAGGCTCTGCATCTTTTGTTTCAATGGGAGAGTGGGAGAGACACCATGAGAAGGCTCCAGACCTTAGATTTCTCAGCCCCTTCTTATCTTAAACGTTTGGGGAGCAAGGAGTACAGTTGACACAGATTGCCGGCTAGCACATTGTTCAGGGACACCAAGCAAGCTTATCTTGAAAGGGCAGAGCCAGACAACTGTGAGGAAAGAAAGTGGGAAGATCTGAGCTACCAGTGCAGAGCTCCAGATAGGCAGGGCATGCCAAGCCTGGGCAGTGCCTCAGTCCCCGGGAGATTCACAGGAAAAAAATCTGTAGACAGCAGGTTGACCTAGGATTGGTGAGATGATCAGGTCAGTGGGAAACGTCATGGGAATCCTTGAGTGGGTTGAGGCTGGGGTTAGTGTGAAGAGTTGGAGGAGGGACTGGGCTGGGAATCTTTAGGAGCCTGGCCTCAGTCTGGTCATTTCCAGGAGCTTCTGGGAGCTGGAGGGGAAGTAGAGCAGCATCAAGGGATCCTTGTGCAGAGGAGTGGTCTGGAAGGCACCGATCAGTGAGGGCTGATGGGCCAGAAGGTAAGGGCAGCAGGCCAGCTCCAGGTACCCTGACCACAAGTTCCATGGGCTCTCGAGCCTTGTTTCGATAAGCCCGACGGATGGTGTCCACCGCTCTCTGGTGCGTTACCTGTTCCAGGCTCTCTCCATCCACTGCCACAAGCTCTAAGCCAGCCTGGAATAGGGTGGGATAATCTGTTCTCCTTTCTCATCTTCACCACTTAACACCAAACCTTCAGGGGTGGCCTCTCACCTCCACAAGCTAAATCACTCCTCCCCCTTCTGAATGCAGGAGATGGACAATAGGACTTTTGTGCCTGGATCTGATGGGGGCAGGGTGGGGCACAGACAATGGCCCTTTGTCCCTTAGGGCTCAGAGGTGGAACAGGATGGGCCGTCCTCAGGCCCAGGCTAGCACAGGGGACAGATTCTCCTCTAGGCCTGCTCATCCTACTCATACTGACCCCAGTACCCCCAAGCCACCTCCCACAACTAGTCCTATGCCTGAACATGTCTGGCTGGAAGGTGAGCAAGGAGCAGCCCTACACCCAGCCAGACTTCCAACTCTGGGGTTTAGTTAGGAGTGGCCTGGAGCTTTACCCACCTGCAGGGCTCCACTGAGGAAGGCAGCGCCCCCTGGGAAGATCTTCTCTATCTTCACCATAGGCTGCACCTTGGACTCAATGCCTCCAGAAATGCTGATGCCTGGGGATGACCAAAAGCACAGTGACACACCCCAAAGTTCTGAGTTCCCAGAGAATCCTAGGATGTCATACCCAAGTTCAGGGCCCACAATATATTCCAAACCCTGCATTTTTGTTACTGTTCCGTCTCAGCTCCCAAATCTTCCAAATCCCTTAAGGGGCTTGGAAGGTGGCTCAGTGGTAGAGCGCTTGCCTTGCATGCCTGAGGCCCTGGGCTCGATTCCTCAGCACCACATAAGCAAAAAGAAAAAAGCCGGAAGTGGTGCTATGGCTCAAGTGGTAGAGCACTAACTAGCCTTGAGCTGAAGAGCTGAGGGACAGCACCCAGGCCCAGAGTTCAGGCCCCACGACCGGACCCCCCCCCAAAAAAAAAAATCCCAAATCTTCCAAATCCCAACCTTCTCCAAATCTAGATTCCCCGCCCCCAGCTAGTACCCCCCAGATTTGTTTTCCTGGGCTCAGACTTGAGATCAAGCCCAACCTCACCTAGACCCAGGAATCCACCCTTCCCCACCCAGCTCCATCTGGACTTACCTAAGGACTGCTTCATCTTCGACAGCGTGACGGTCTTCAGCTGCCCAATAGGGGCCTTTGTGGCCTCTGCCTCAGTCCCCCCAGTTCCATTTTCTGGGGGGCCTAGTCTGGCCCCCATCTTGTCTGACTGCCCATCCAGAGGTCGTGGTAGGGGGGACCGAGCCTTCCGAGGCTTGTGATAGCGCCCATTGACTGCGCTGGAGTTGGAAATGGGTGCTGGGGATGGGGAGCGCCTACGCCCTGGAGATTTGCCTCGACCCCGGCTATGGTTGCGGCTGCAACTCTGGACTGGGGCCTGGCCCTGGCTCTGCTGAGGGTCCTCTTGGCTCACAGGTTCTGTCAACAGCCAATTAGGTCTTGGGGGCCGAGGTGCCACTGGGGGTGGCTGAGGAGGAGGTGTGCGTGCACTTCGGCTTGAGGTGAAGGCATCTACTGGCACATCTTGTAAAGGAGGGATTCCTTTGTGATGGTGGCGGGGGCCAGAGGCACTCAGAGAAACCTGGAGGTCCCCCAGCCTGTCCCTCAGCTCTCCATCATCCTCTGAGACGCCATTCACAGGTAGAAGATAGAAACCTCCACGGCTGTCTGGGAAACAGGGCCAAGGTCAGGTGGCCCCCTCTTCAACTCCCAGCCCAGACTACGTTCTAGTCTTGCTGTGGTTTGTGTGGGGCTAGGGTTTGTGACAGTGAGGCCTGGTTTCCTCAGGCCTAGTGCAATAAAGAAAGGACACTGCCTACTGGAGAAGGTAGACAAAGCCCAGGGGTTATAATAAAATCTTACACTGTCATATAGTTCTACTTTAATTTTTGTCAGTTGTGGGGCCTGAACTCTGGGCCTGAGTGCTGTCCTTCGGCTCTTCAGCTCAAGGCTAGTGCCCTACCACTTGAGCCACAGCGCCACTTCTGGCTTTTTCTGCTTATGTGGTACTGAGGAATCGAACCCAGGACCTCATGCATGCAAGGCAAGCCTGAGCCACCTTCCCAGCCCCCTAATTTTTTTTTTTTTTTTGTGCCTGTCCTGGTGCTTAAACTCATGGCCTGGGTATTGTCCTTGAGCTTTTTTTGCTCAAGGTTAGTGCTCTACCACTTGAGCCACAGCTCCACTTCCTGCTTTTTTTTTTTTGGTAGTTTATTGGAGATCAGAGTTTTATGGACTTTCCTGCCCAGGCTGCCTTTGAACTGCAATCCTCAGATCTCAGCCTCAGTAGCTAGGATTACAGGCATGAGGCACCAGCACCTACCTTAGTTCTACTTTGACATGTCTGAGAGTAGATTTTAAAAGGAAGGGAGTTAAAAACACTTAGAAGAAATAGTAGAGGTGGTGATGAGTTGTAACAATGGTTCTGGGGCACACTGCTATACTCCAGGGAACCTAGGGAACTCTCAGTGTACCTTTGAAGACCCCATGTCAGGGGTAGGGATAGGTGCTTGTTCTCTTTTGTCCTAGTATCCCCAAGGTTGGGTCCCCTCCCTGGGCTCTAGGACTCTGACTGACCAGGCACAGGGGTGATGAGGTGACGCTTGGGCGGTGTGTCTTGCCGAGCTGGTCTCAAAGCAGGAGGCCACACTGGTTGGAGAGGAGAGTAGGTCAGAGGCCAGGCACACCTCACCAGCTCCCTGTGGGCCTATAAAGAGGCTCACAGATTCTGCTGCCCTCTCTCCTGAGACCTTCCCCCTCTACCCCTGGCTCAGAGCTCAGGATCTAGAACCGTCCCCAGCTACTAACCTGCCCTGTTCTTGAGAGCCTCAAAAGCCTCCAACTCCACAGGCATCACCATGCTGTCAAAGCGGCCCAGGTCCGTGGGGGCCACTACACTCCTGGGGGAAGGCAAGGGATGCAGGCTGACCAGGGCTCAGTTCTGGAGGTATCAGGAGGAGCTTCAGCCCTGGGGATGTTGGGGGGAGGTATCAGGAATCCCCTTCCTGTCCCTGAGCCCGCCCCTCAAGCCCCTCCTTACCTGATGTCCCTCAGCAGCAGCAGCTTCTCAGGCCTGTCTAGGATGGCCAGCAGGGGCCTCACTAGATCCTCTACACCACCCTCATGCACGTACTGTGGATAGAGGTATCACAGTCACACAGCAGTGGGAGATCCAGAGCCAGGGGAGAAGAAAGGCCAGGACCCCCTGCGTGCCCTGGAACCCATCCAGCCCTCCCCATCCAACCCAGGGGCCACAGGATGTTCTTATCTTGGTGACCTTCTGGAGGCATGAAATAATCATGGCAGTAATACAGTAGATCTGTAATAAATAGCAACAGCAACAACAGCTTGGGGGGCAGACACCTTTCCAAGCTTTTTTTTTTTTTTTTAATAGGACCTCTTATTCAGCAGCCACCCTGAGAGACAAAATTAACTTCCTGTTTTATTGATGAGAAAACTAAGGGTCAGAAAGGCCTTTGCGCCAGCTGCTGGTGACTCAAGCTTGTAATTCTAGCTACCAACGAGGCTGAGGTGTAAGGGCCAAAGTTCAAAGCCAGACAGAGCAGGAAAGTTTGTGAGACTCTTATCACCAATTAACCAGCAAAAAGCCAGAAGATGAGCTGTGGCTTACGTGGTACAGCACCAACTGTGAGCTTGAGGTCTTGAGTTAAAGCCCCAGTACCAACACCCCCCCACAACCAAAAAAAAGTCATACAGATTAGGATGAGGAACCCAATACATCTGACTTTCACCTGCTCTGATGTTAGAAAAGCATGCACCAGGACTGGACTCCCCTCCCCATCTCCATTCCCCAGACAGAAGGAAGGAAACCGAACCTAATATTAGGCTCTAGGCCTGGAAGTCTCAGTCTTTGTTCTGAGCTGGAATGGAAACCTTGGGGAAGAGTGCTCTACAGAACGCCTCTCTAGTCAACAACCTCCGCCTGGCACGGCCTGGATTCATACATATCCCAGCAACTAAAACACTGAACCACTCTACTTGGACAGTACACTGCCCTCTGGTGGTAAGAGGGAGACAAATTCAGGGACATGCACACAGACCATCTCTTCTGGGCATAGACACAGGGCATGCTCTCGGTGGTCAGAGTGAGTCACTGAGAAATATTTGGAGATAAATAAAATAAAATATTAACTATGTATGTGGCTCTAAACTGCAACAAGGTTACAGGATTCACACACATATATATCATATATATATGTATTATACATATGTATGTGTATTTTTTGTCTGGAGAGACATGTTGCATAGAACTAGCATACATCCTTCAAGTCCACAAGCATACATTCAGTATCCACTAAATGCAGTGAGGACACAATAGTAAAGAGTTTATCTCAGATGTGGGAATGAGAGTCAGGGGAGCCACTCACAGCAGTGAACTGCAAACCATGACAATGGGGGAAAGTAGTAATTTCAGAAGAGGGTAGAAAATCAGAGTAGGCTTCTTGGAGTCAGTGACTTTATTTCCAAGATCAATACAGGGAAAAGCATGGATGTTAGGAAGAAAATGTTCCATGGAATAATGAGTAGGGTAACATGGCCATAGGCCATGTGTTGTGTGCAGACTATGTGACTAATAGCCCTAAAACAAGTTTGTAACTCTGTAGCCAACATGAGAAGATTACAGGGAAAGGGAAAGTTAGCAGTTTGGGGAGTCACGAGGAAGGGCCTTGAACGAGGAAGGGCCTTGAACATGAGGGAAAGCAACTTGTACTCTATTCTACCTAATAAGGAATTGGGAGGTGGATGGGGAGTATAAAGTGATCTGAAAGGTAGTCTGTAATTGCTGATGTGGTGCCTGTGTAGAGAAAGTTCAGAGAATAAAGAGCGCAGGTCTGCACATTCGTGCAGTAGGGCTCTATCCCAGAGGATGTTGAGGGTGGTGGTTGGATCAGGCTTGGACAGCACGTAGAGCAGAAAGGTGATATGGAGAATACAGAGAGACGACATGATGGTGGTCTGAGAACTGGAGGGGCAGAGATGAGAGTGCAGTTCAAGCACTGGCCAAAGAAACAGACACAGAGCCCCACCTAGTGGCCAAAGCTCAGACTTGCAGGTTCACTGGAGCCATGACACATCCCAAGATTAGTTCAGAGCCCATACTGCCTCCCTCCTCAACATAAACTGACTCCATTGGCAACTATGCTGCGAAGTAGGCCTTAGTAAACGAAATCATGAATAATCATCTTAGGCTCCATGTGGCAATACATGGACACACTCCTGCACTTATTGCCAATGCATACACCATACAGATAGACATTCAGCACCACCATGAGCCAGGCAGGAGTGGAGGAATCCACACATAATTTTCTGAAACCTCTCAATTTGCACACGGTGCAAGCAGATGCATATGCTCTACTGGGAACCCACTACAGTATAGAGGGATAAGAGAAGACCTTCCAGTTCTCCAAGTTCTATGCAGTCTTTTGAAACTAACTCACATCTTTCCCTGGGGCTCTTTGGTTCTGTATGGAGTAGAACAGGCAGGTATTTGGGGGTTGACACGTAGCAGAGTTATAGGATTGCTTATCTGGGTAATAGAGAAGGGGTCTGGCATAAGCCTGAACTAGCTGGCTGCCCAATGAGCAGAAGAGGATGAAGAAGGGGACAAGTCTAGGGGTTTAGATAGGGTACAGGCAGGTGCCTGCAGGGACTCGCTTTCTTTCTACTCATCATTCCTCTGTAGGTCTAGATTCTCTCATCGTAAGTGTCACATCTTCAGGAAGGCCTTCCCAGATGACACCCCAAAAGTATGCATCCTGGATTATTCTTTGTGCTCTTTTCTTTTGAAGCGTCTGTATGATTTGCCACTGAAGTATTAAGATTCAGGTTATTGGTGATCTCCCCTTTCTGGCAATGAGCCTGGTGTGATGTGTGTGTGTGTGTGTGTGTATAAGAGAGAGAGAGAGAGAGTGTGTGTGTGTGTGTGTGTGTGTTCTTGCTTTTACTGACTACCTGCTTCTAGCCTTAAGTCCAGGGACTGGTCAGTGGCCTGAATAAGTGAGAGATTAGGAGACTGCATAACCATGCAATGGGGATACTATCTGAGAGACCATGGGATAGGATGCATACAAGCTGGAGGCTTACCCGGGAGCAGTGGCGGGTGACTGCAAGCACTTCATCATCAGTGAGCAGCCGCCTCGCTAGGTCCTGAATGAGGGGCCGTCGGCTCTCCCATGTCTGTACCCACTCATCTACACTGGGCAACTGGATGGAGGGGCTCCCAGACCTGGTAGAGAGCAGAGCTCGGCCCCTCTCCCGATCTGTGGAGCAGAGCAAAAATGGCATGATGAAATAGCCAGGAGTTGTTGGGGTGGGATAGGGTGGGGCAGGAGCTTCTGTCATTAGGAATCAGACTCCACAATCAAGAAACCTACCCAGATATCTGGACAAAATCCTAGCTTGGGCATAGGCTTCCATAGCAACTTGCCCACTAATGGAGTGCCAACCCCAGTTGCTTAATCTCCAACAATGACCTCATGCCAGTGTGTTCCTTAATGGGTTCTTAGCCAGTATGTCCTAAAAATATACTGTCAGGAAGGGAAGGTGTGGCTCAAGTGGTAAGAGTACTAGCCTTGAGTGAAAAAGCCAGGTGTCAGCAAGAGGCCCTGAGTTTAACCCCAGCAGCATCAGCATAAACATGCAAATAATACATAAATAAATAATAATACATAAGTAAAACGTACTGTTATACTCCACTGGAGTCCTAAACAGGCTCCTTTACAGCCCAGAAATCTTGTTTTGGAAGTCCCAATGCAAGCTCTGAAATACACTCCCTAACTGTATATAAACCCCTCTTCTAGTCCAGTCCTTTGAGCTACCCCTCATACACACCTCTCTACCTGACCATGTTTGCCCCAAATGAGTTCAGTCCAAAGCTACTAAGCTGCCTCGAACATGGAGCTCTCATTTGTCACAAGGACCAGGCTGAGATGCTTGACTTACCACGTTTCAGTCTCCAGGTAACAAACTTCTGCACAGGCCCTGCACCTCCTGCTGTGAAGAAGAAGAGGGTCACCTGTAGGCTACCCAGTCTGGATGGGGTTGGGATTGGGCTCAGGATAGGCTGGAGTAGAATGTTCTGACTGGAAGTAGGCAGCACAAGGGGCCAGAGACCAGGCCCTGAGGGCTCCAATAGGAACTTCATTCATAGGCAATGGGGAGTCAGTGAGAGGTACAGATCCAGGGAAGATGTAGCGTGGGCTATATCCAAGGACTGGGTTTGGGTACCTACCTTTAGGAGATAGAGAGGCAAAGAAGAGCCTTGGAAGGAGAGAAGGAAGTGGCCAGAGAGGGAGGCTGAGAGCCAGGAGAGAGCAGAACCTCAGGAGCTGCAGGAAGAGAGAGGGAGGAGTAAGAAGGGGTCTAGCCAGCCCTCACATGGAAAGGTGTCTCCCCGAGGACTGTCACTTGAAGCCTCAGAAAGCCCAACCCCAGGGAGGAGCACCGTCCTGACTCTCTGCTTGTTTTTGTCTATCCAATGTCCACTCTTCCTATGGGAAACAGTATCCTGAGGATTTGATTTCTTTACTTTCTGGGTGGGCACAGGACCCAGACTGGCCAGTGAAAGCACCTCATATGTGAGCCACATCATAGTGGCTTGCTCAGTTTGGTGGACCCCAATGGATGCTCTCACTGTTTCTGTCCTGGGGCTTCAGCTGGAACTATTTAAGGAGAAGCTTTCTCTCTTCTAGGGTTGCTAAATAATGGCAGCCATCTTGTATAGATATCAGCAAAGTCTGAATGAAAGTGAAGCAAGCCTAATGGAAAAATGGAACCAAAAGACTTGAGGGACCCCTATCTGATAATATTATCCACACCGTTAAGTCAGTATCTAGGCCAAAAGGGGCTTTATAAAGCAAATTTGAGTTTCTGCCACAGGTACTGCATCAATGCATCCACTCTTGGTCTAGTCTGGGCTTGGAGCTTCACGAGGTGGGGGTGAGGGGTGGGGGCAAGCCTCTTGTAAGGGTCTTCAGGAAGAAGCCCCACAGAAATACAGCCTGGATTGAGAACGTGGCTTAGTTGTAGAGTGCTTGCCTAGCATGCATGAGATCCTCGGTTCAATTCTTCAGTACCACATAAACAAAAAGACAATGAAAAAAAATATATATATATATAAAGTACACCCTGAGCTGGCCATTCAGCTTAGGACCTGTTCTAGAAAGACCTTGTTCAAGGATAGGTCTAGAACTTGGTCAGGCCGGTGGAGCTCTGGCTAGAGGATTTGAAACCAAATGGTCTGCAAAAATACACTCTACCACTACCACCACCACCAAGAGCACAGGTTCTGAGCCCAGCTTGTCCACTTCCTTATTGGGCTACAACTTATCACTTTCCCATGCTGTAAAATGGGAGGTGAGGCAGGTGACAAAGACCACATTTTTTCTGAGCACCTTCTGTGTGCTGGAAGAGATACTAAGTGACTCATATTTGCTAACTCACTCCCCATGACTCCTAGGGAGATAGTATTGCTTCTATTTTACCTGTGAGGACGCTGAGGCTCACAGGGTACAGTGGTGAGGCAGAGTAGGATTTCAACCTGGAACTGCCAGGTGGACTTTCCTGTCTACTGGACTTGGTGCCTACCTTTGTCCAGGTCCAGGCGAGGGCGGGTTTTGGTGGGGCTCCCGCTGTCCAGTGTCCAGGCCTCTTTGCGCCCATCCCCTGCTGGTCGTCCCTGCCGCCCTCCCTTGAAGAAGAGGTTCATCAGCGTCTTGGAGCGTTGTAGGGCCCCTTTCTCCTCAGGGGACCCTGATGACTTCTCTTTCTTTCGTTGCTTCTTCTCCTCTGCAGATATGAGGAAACCCCCAGGGGGCTGGAGGGTGGGCAGAGGAGGACAAAGGGCAGAGAACAGGGAGGGCCGGGGCAGACAGGATCTGCAGCAGAGTGTGTGTGTGTGGGGGGGGTTCCTTCTCTAGCTTTCCACCCCTCCCTCAGAGAGAAAGAGAGAGAGAGGGAGAGAAAGAGAAAATACGTATGGACATTCCAAGCTGGAGAGACTGAGTTAGGACTGGTTTTTAGAGCCCAGAGCTGACCAGAACTGGGGTTGAGACTGAAGGTGGGTTTGGAACCCAGGCCTGGCTTGGGTCCAGAGCAAGGTCTGACTATATTCTGGAGCTAGGACTGCACCAAAGACAGCAGCAAAGGGAAGGTTGGGACCACTTCAGCTTTGGTTTTTGGAGTTTCTGGGGAGAAAGCAGAAGCCCATCCCCACATACCCCACAGGGTCAGGTGGCTCTGAGATCGAGTGATGGGGGGCCGGGGTCGGCTGAGGGCCAGCAGCAGAGCAGTCTTGGGGGACTCTGAGAGGGCAGAGTCAAGACGACGGGCTGGAGGGGGGCCGTCAGCGCGGATGGCTGTGTCCCTGAGGATGACAGTGGGTCGCACGCTGCACCAAGTCTCCATGCGGCCCCCCATATCTGGCTCTGTCTGCATGGCTGTGTCCGCCCGTCCCCAGCCTGGGCTGTGGCCATCCAGATCCTCAGGTCCCAGGCAGACATCCATGCAGTCTGAGGGCAGGGAGCCCGAGCTGCAGGGGGCGCTGGAGGCATAGGAGGAGACACTGGAGCCGCTCTCAGAGGCTGGCGACAGCTGCTGCAGCACCCCGTTGCTCACTGCAGGGAGGGGAAGGCAGGGCCACCTCAGCATCTGCCTGGTGTTTCCTCAGGGCCCTGTGAGGCTTGCAGACTACCCCTAGCTTGGGGATGCAGGAAGGAATCTCGGGTAGCAGCCATGGAATGAGCTTCTCAGCTCTGCCGTGTCTTGTGAGAGAGACTGGGCAAAACACCTATGGCCTTGGGTAAGACCTTGGACAAGACCCTAGAACAGCCTGGAAATGAATCTGCCAGCCCTCAGGAGAATAGCTCTGGGCTGTGTGAAGATCTCAGCACATCTTCATCCCTGTCCTTGGCCCCACCCCTAACGCCTCAGCCTTCGCCCTCCCATCTTTGGAGATCTGAGGCACTTACATCTGTCCAGCCAACAGTACTCAGAAACCATCTCCTTGTAGGCAGGGTACCGGCCCGTCTCCTGGGGAGGGCATGGTGGATATAAAAGGAGCAAGGGAGAAGGGTGGGTAAGAATAGAGAAGGGAGCCAGGCATCTATGACTCATGTCTATAATCCTAGCTACTCAGGAGGCTAAGATCTGAGGATCATAGTTCAAACCCAACCTGGGCAGACAAATCTGAGAGACTTTTATCTCCAATTAACCAGATAAAAGCTGGACTGGATGTGTAGTTCAATTGGTAAAGTGTCAACTATGAGTAAAAAAAGCTGAGTGAGAATGTAAGACCCAGCTCAAGCTCCAGTATCGGCACACACACAAAAAGAAAGAATAGAGGAGAGATGGGACAGGGGTAACCTACCATGTTTAATCACACAGGCTATTTTCTTTTTCTTTTTTTTTTGGGTCCAGTCGTGAGGCCTGAACTCTGGGCCTGGGCGCTGTCCCTCAGCTCTTCAGCTCAAGGCTAGCGCTCTACCACTTGAGCCACAACGCCACTTCCGGCTTTTTTTTTCTGCTTATGTGGTGCTGAGGAATCGAACCCAGGGCCTCATGCATGCAAGGTAAGCGCTCTACCACTGAGCTACCTTCCCAGCCCCAACACAGGCTATTTTCTTGCTAAACATGCCAAGTTCCATTGTACCTCAGGACTTGTGCACCTCCTCTTCCTTCTGCCTATTTCTTTTCCCTCAGCTTGTCTGCTTCACTAATTTTTTGGTTTTTGGGTTTTTTTTTTTTGCTGGTCCTGGGACTTGAACCTGGACTCTGTCCCTGAGCCTCTCTGTGCTCAGATCTAGCCCTCTACCCCACTTGAGTCACAGCACCACCTCCGGCTTCTTCTGTTAATGCGGTACTAAGGAATCAAACCCAGGGCTTCATGCATGCTAGGCAAGCACTCTACCACTAAGCCAAATTCCCAGCCTTTTTTTTTTTTAAGTGCTGGTAATAGGCCTTGAACTCAGGGCCTGGGCACTGTCCTTTAGCTTTTTCACTCAAGGCTGGTGCTCTATCATTTTAGCCACGGCTCTACTTGCAACTTTTTGTTAGCTAATTGGAAATAAGAGTCTCATGAACTTTTCTGCTGGGCTGGCTTCCAACTGTGATCCAGCCTCCTGAGTAGCTAGGATTACAGGTGTGAGCCACCAGCACCCAGTTCACTAGTTTGTCCTTGATCTTTTTTTTTTTTTTTTTTGTCAATCATGGGCTTGAGCTCTGGGCCTGGGTGCTGTTCATGAGTTCTTCAGCTCAAGGTGAGTGCTCCAACTCTTGAGCCACAGCACCACTTCTGGTTTTCAGTGGGTTAGTTGGAGATAAGAGTCTCATAGACTTTCCTGCCCAGGCTGGCTTTGAACTGTGATCCTCAGATCTTAGCCTCCTGAGTAGCTAGGATTGCAGACATGAACCACCAGCGCTCAGCTGTCCTTGATCTAAATTTAAGTATCACTGCCTCAGAGAGGCCTGCCCTTATATATACCCACCCAGTTCCAAGGGCTGTCCTAAAAGACTCTATCCCACCTTTCAGCTGATGCATGAGAGCATCAGCCACCGTTTAACAGCATCTAGTCTCTCTTGGCACAGGCCTGCCTGTTTCCTATTGTAGCCTCAGTGCCTAACACAGTAGTTGCTCAAAAGTACCACTAAATGAATGAATAGGGGCAAAGAGAAAGTGAGGTGGAGTCTGGGACAGGTCAAGAGGTAGGAAAGGGAGAAATGGATGTGGAAAAGAGGGGCAGTGTGTGGGGGATAAGGAGAAGATGAGGCATTGAATGGCAAGAAGAGTGAAGGAAAGGAGGGTAGGGGCTGGCAGAGCACTTGGGGAGAGTGAGATGTCATTTCCTGAAGGAGTTAGCATGAGATACACCCAGTCCTCAGGCAAGTGTGAGACCCAGATGAACAATGAAGCTAGCCACTTCCCTGAAATCCAGTGTCTCACCCAGCCTTCCTTGCCCTATACCATGACAATGCCTATCCCGAAGGCTGCCCAAAGCCACAGTTACCAGTCCACATTTCCCTTGGGACATATGCTCTTTCAACCAGAGTCCCCCACCATTCAGAAGAAGGGGTACTAGAGCCAGCTGAATGACTGACTAGTTTCTGAGTTATTGTGCCTCTTTGAGCTTTAGTTTCTCCTTTTGCAAAATGGGGTGAGGACAATGCTTGCACTCCATTCCATGTGGGTTTGGAAATGGCATAAATGGCAGAGCAAGGAGCATAATTAGGCACTAAAATGAGTCAGGTGTGGTGGTGCATGCCTGTAATCCCAGCACCTGAGAGCCTGAGGCAGGAGAATGGTGAAGTCAAGGCCAGCCTGGGTGCTACACAGTTGCGTCTGAGGCAAGACTCTTGTCACAAACAAACAAACAGAACCAGGGTGGTCTGGGAAGTCCTTCTTTTAGTAAGGTCTTTCTCTGACCTGCAGTGCTGCTCACCTTGATCGTCAACATGATATGCGTTTGGCCCTTTAGCACTTCCACAGCCTGGCTATGGCTGATGTCATCAAACCTAACACCATTGGCTGCCAGGACCTGGTCTCCCACTTTGATGCCATTCTCCTCAGCCAGGCCACCATGGTCCACTCTGGAATGAGACAGACATCAGCAGACAGAACCTTTGACTCTGGGAATGCTCAGCCATGCTCCTCGGCCCCCTTGTGGTGACTGAGCCCGATCCCCAGGCATGCAGCATTCCGTGCTCAGCCTACAGTCCTCTCCTTTCAGCATGCCCTCACTTAGACACGTAGATGCCCAGGCCAAACTCTTTGCCCCCTCGGATGTTGAAGCCCAGGCAGAAGTCATCAGAGGTGGTGTACAGGTGGACGATGCGCCGTGCGCCGTATTCTGAGCTGCTGTCTGACGGCGTGGAACTGCACTTCTCCACCACCAGGCGCCGGTTCACCACATCCACCCTAGGACAGCATCAGGGGATCCTCAGCCAAGGCCTCCAGCCCCCCACCTCCTCTCCCAGCAGCCCTGGTAGCTGTGTTAGAAAGCAGAATTTGCCTTTGGAGGACTCCAAGGCCTGGGATCTTCAGTGGGACTTAAACTTGGAATCTGGGGAAATGTCCTCATCACCTCTTTTCATTGAGCCATAATACACAGGGCCCCATTTCACTTTCTCTCTTTCTCTCTTTTCTTTCCCTCCCTCCCTCCCTCCTTCCCTCCCTCCGTCCTTCCCTCCCTCCCTTCCTTCCTTCCTTCCCTCTATCCCTCCCTCTCTGCTTGCTTGCTTGCTTGGGATAGACCCAGGGCCTAGAGCATGCTAAGTGTATATTCTACACTACCTTTCACTCCTAGCCCTAGGGCCCCACTTGTGACTCTTACAAGGTCCCAGTGGAGAGAGACTGCTGTATGCACAGGTTGCATGGCTGTAGTGGGAGGGAGGCCAGGCCCTAGAACTGGAGAGGAGAGCAGTGGGGAAGAACTGCGGAGGTACAGTCTTTCCTCACTTCAAGGTCAGGTCTTAGCCAAGCACCAGTGGCTCATGCCTATAATCCTAGCTACTCAGGAGGCTGAGATCTGAGGATTGCAGTTTGAAGCCAGCCTGGATGGAAAAGTCCATGAGACTCTTAATTCCAGTTAACCAGCAAAAAGCCAGAACTATGCTAAGAGATAGCACCCAGGCCCTGAGTTCAAGCCCTAGTACCAGCATGCACACACACACACACACACACACACACACACACAGATCAGGGATGTTATGTTTCCAGTGGCCACAGGACAAACAGAGAGCTCTTCTGACCATGGGTGGGGTTGGGGGGAACCTGGGGCAAAGCCAGGGCGAGGACAGGGGGTGCTTACCATGTGGTCTTCTCCTTGGAGAATTTGATGCCCGGCACACGGCCCATGCGTCGCACCATCATGTGCAGGCGGCTGCTGCCTGTCAGAACCTTCACAGCACTGCCCATCGTGGTACTCTCCAGGCTTAGCCCGTTCACCTCTGTGATCTTGTCCCCCACGCACAAGCCAGCCTGCTCTGTAGCACAAGTGGGAGAGAGCTCCGTGGGGTAAAACTGAGCTTCCTCCTTCCAAGTGTTTGTCCTCAGAGTAAACTCTAGGATCTGTCCCTTAATCCATGCTGCCCACCAGTGGGCCCAGTTCCCACAGAGGCCTGCAGAACTGAGGCCTTTTCCTACCTCTAACCATAGGACCCATTGCTCCCCAATGAGGTAAAGGGGTTCAAACCAGCACCTCCCCTGGGGAACCGCACTCACCTGCACTGCTCCCCTCTTCTACTTTGCTGACAAAGATGCCCAGGCCATGCTCAGAGCCCCCGCGCACGCTGAAACCCAGCCTCCCTGTGGGGCTCTTCTCCACTTGGACTGCATGGATGATGTCACTTTCATCACTGTTGGCTGTAGGGATGGGGACACAGGTATGATCCCCATATTTACTCTGCGCAATAAGGACCCTGGGTTCTCCAACTTGAGCCCTGCAAAGGTGGGGTTACTGGGCACAGTCACACAAGCAAGCACTTAAGGTCCTCAACAGGGGACAGAATAGGAAGAGATTTTGAGACCATGATCCATGGAAAGCATGGGAACTTCTTGTTAGAACAGCAAGAAGTTTTGTGTGTGTGTGTGTGTGTGTGTGTACTGTGTGTGTACTGTGTTTCCCAGGTTCTCTTTCCTAAGGAAAAAAAAATCTTTCAATTATGAGAATCAGATAAATAAAAAAGAAGGTTCAAATTTCCATCCAGTGGGGTACAGTGGGGGTAGTCAGGACTCTGCCTTGCAGCTGAGCAGGTACTTTAGCTTGGACTTCAAGTGGCTGCAGAGCTATGGTATAGAGGGCAGAACCACGCCCAAGATAGAGACAGATCTTATAAGGAAAAGTCCTTCTTCTTCTTCCTCCTCCTCCTCCTCTCCTCTTCCTCCTCTTCCTGCTGCTGCTGCTCCTCCTCCTCCTCTTCCTCTTCCTCCTCCTCCTTCTTCTTGCTGGTACTGGGGCCTGAACTCAGGGCTTAGGCTCTGTTGCTGAGCCTCTGTGTGCTCAGACTAGCGCTCTACTACTTGAAACACAGTGCCACTTCTGGCTTTTTCGGAGTAAGTTTGCTGGAGTCCTGCAGACTTTCTTGCCCAGGCTAGCTTCAAACTGTGATCCCCTGATCTCCGCCTCCTAAGTAGCTAGGATTACTGGCACTCAGCTAGGAAAAGCTTTCTTTCTTTTTTTTTTTTTTGGGTCCGGTCGTGGGGCCTGAACTCTGGGCCTGGGCACTGTCCCTCAGCTCTTCAGCTCAAGGCTAGCGCTCTACCACTTGAGCCACAGTGCCATTTCCGGCTTTTTTCTTTTTGCTTATGTGGTGCTGAGGAATCGAACCCAGGGCCTCAGGCATGCAAGGCAAGTGCTCTACCACTGAGCTACCTTCCCAGCTCCAGGGAAAGCTTTCTTAAACGTCTAGATGTCAAGCCAGGCACCAGATGCTCACAGCAATAATCATAGCCCTCACATCATATATGGACATAGGGTGGGTGTTGGGGGTATGTATGGCATAGTTCTTTTTTTTTCTTTTTTACTTTTTATTTTATTTTATTTTTTTTGGTCAGTGCTGGGGCTTGAATTCTGGGCCTGGGCGGGGTCCCTCAGCTCTTTAGCTCAAGGAGAGCGCTCTATCACTTGAGCCACAGAGTCACTTCTGGTTTTATGGTGGTTAACTAGAGATAAGAGTCTCATGGGCCCTGCCAGAGGCTCACACCTGTAATCCTAACTACTCAGGAGGCTGAGATCTGAGGATCGAGATTCAAAGCCAGCCCAGGCAAGAAAGTCTGGGACACTCTTATCTCCAATAAACCACCAGAAAAACTGGAAGTGGTGCTGTAGCTCAAGAGTTCAAGCCCTATGACCAAAAAAAAAAAAAGTCTCATGGACTTTCCTGCCTGCGCTGGCTTTTGAACTGAGATCCTCAGATCTCAGCCTCCTGAGTAGCTCGGATTATAGGCATGAGCCACTGGAGCCTGGCCTGTGGCACAGTTCTTTTAACAGAGTTGGACCAACAAGTGTAGTGCTACGGTGTGCCCCTCTACTCTGTCTCCTAGCTCCTTTGGAAACTTCTGCTCCCTGACCAACATGGCAATGGTGACCCTCAGCAGTGCCTTGCTGCTAACCCAGGGGTGAGGCACCAATGGTGGATAATGGGAGCAAGCATGTACATTGTTGATGAAGAAAAGTGTGTCCCAAGAACATATACTCCCCTTGCTCCAACCATCTGGGATGGGGGTGGCAGGGGACTACAGAGATACCCAGCTGTGTCAGAGTTGAGGAACAGGGCCTGAAAAGTCCAGTCTGGGATCTAGCCAGGGAAGCTTGGCTAGCTAAGAAAGAGGAGAGGAGCTAGAGATGTTTATCTTGTCCTACGCACAGAAAGCCCAGACCTATAGGCCCGCTCCCTGCTTCTCCTCCCCTCCCCCCCATACACATTCAAGGTCCTGTCTTGCTTACCAGCCCCGGCGCCTCACATCTGTTACTGTGGCCAGTCTGTCTCCTAAGTGGCTGCCTAGCCATGCTTTGTGATTTGTTCACTTCCAACCTTTGTGGGTGACAGCTGCATCTCACTGCCAGCTATCTTTGCTGTTCCATCTCTAAAGTTCTCCTACACTGCATTTCCAAAGGGTAAAGATAAAAGCCTTATCTCTTTAAGTCTTCTGCAAAGACCTAACTAGTTCAGGCAATAGAATTGGTGTGTAGGGGCTGGGAAGGTGGCTCAGTAGTAGAGAGCTTGCCTTGCATGCCTGACGCCCTGGGTTCGATTCCTCAGAACCACATAAGCAAACAGAAAAAAAAGCCGGAAGTGGCACTGTGGCTCAAGTGGTAGAGCGCTAGCCTTGAGTTGAAGAGCTGAGGGACAGTGCCCAGGCCGAGTTCAGGCCCCATAACCGGACCCCCCCCCCAAAAAAAAAAGAATTGGTGTGTAATGGCAACGTCAGGCAACCACACAAACTTAGGTTGTGTAATGCCAGCCCTTGGATCCCTCCCTGGCCCTCAGTGCTCCTAATTCCTTATCTTTCGAACATTTACTGATCTACCATCAGACCCTTCCTTCTGACTTTTTTTTTTTTTGGTCAGTCACAGGACTTGAACTCAGAGCCTGGGTATGGTCCCTAAATTCTATTGCTCCAGGCTATGCTCTACCACTTTAAACCACAGCAGCACTTCCAGTTATCTGGTGGTTCATTCGAGATAAGGGTTCCTGGAGACTTTTCAGCCTACTCAGCCTCCTGAGTAGCTAGGATTATAGGTGTGAGCCACTGGCACCTGGCTCTCCTTCTGACTCTTAACAGTTAAAGTCGATCACACAATTGGCATACATAAATGGCTTTGGAGAAAGGCAGAGTCCATGGGATAGGAGGGCCAGCTTAATACCCGCCTTGCTCACTGAGGGGCTAGCAGGCCACACACATTTTTCCTTGTCCCCACATTTCCACCTCCCACCCCTCCTGAATCTCTTAAAGACTGGACTGGAAGTGAGCCAAGGATAGATAAGGAAGAGTAATGGGCTCCCAGAAGCCCTCCCTTCCCTAAGACTCCTATCTCTTGAGTTCCCCTAACCAAATTGGTTGTGCCTTGTCTCCCATCTTCCCCTTCCCAAGCCAATGACTGGACTCTGCACCCACCTTCGATGGGGGAGTTGATGAGTATGACACGGCCCATGGGCGATGAGGCTCGGATTCCGCGGGGGGGCCCATTCAACAGCCGCTGCTGCTTCCTCAGCAGGTATCGTGTTGCGGTGGAGCCTGAGTCACTGCCCAGGTGGCCTCGGGAAGAGAGGGAGCTTAGAGAGCCAGAGCTGAGTTCTCCTGGACCCAGTGGGTCAAAGCCCACTGTGAAACCACGGGCCATGGTGGCTGGGCTGGGGCTGTGTCCTACAGGTCCAGAAGGAACCTACTAGCCCTCCAGAGCCTGATTCCTGATGCTCTGAGCTCCATGAACCTTCGGTGTATGGCTGAGGACTGCTTGAGGCGGAGCTCCTCACTTGCACTTCTCAGGACTATTTGCTCCAGTCCTAGGCAGGGAGAGCAGGTGTTGGGGGAGAGGGTGTAAATGCTGCCCTTATTGCCCTCAGAATTTCTACCCCCTCCTCATGGTTTCAGCATCTTGCTCTCTCATGTTTTAGGCCAGCCCAGCTCCCTACTTCTCCTACCCTTAGACCAGAATCTGCCAGGGTCATGAACCACCACTGACCTTAGGGGCCATTTAAACAAGATGGATAGGGAGTACTACTTCGCCCCTCATTTCTGCTCTCAGCTGAGTCTTCGGTCTCGTCCCCAGTCCTCTCAGTAGAGGTTGAGAGAGTGGAGATAGCATTGTTGTGGGCCTTTGGTGAGAAAAAAATGAGGGGCCAGGACAGCTTACTGCAGCACCTCTCCTATGTATGCGGGTAGGAGCCAGAGTCCAGGGCTTCAGGACCTGGGACAGCTGCAGTCAAGGGCATCCCCGCCCCTTCCTCGAGATTGGGGCGAGAGGGGGAGGGCAAGCGTGGGGCTCGGGTTCTAAAGCGGCTGCACGAACCCCTCCTACTCTGGGGCAGAATAATCTCCTGGAGAGCCCCCAAACCACCAGTCCCAAACCAGGGGTCAAGTCCTCTAGAGCAGCTCTGGGACCCAGAAATGCAGCCCCCACCCCGGGCGGACCCTTCGGATCCTCACTTCTTAGGCCGACCCCACTCACCTGCTGGCTTGCTCTGCACCAGCGGGCTCTGCACGCCCGCGCGTGCGAGCCAGTGCCGCAGCAAGGAATCCCGCCCCCAGGCTGCGGGATAGGAGTGTGCTGCGCGGCCGTGGGCTCCAATTGGCTAGTGAGGCTGCGGGTCTGCGCGGCCGCGAGCTTCAATTGGCTAGTGAGGCTGTCAGTCACTCCTTCCCAGCTCCTCTCGTAGGCGCAGGGAACCTCCGCTAGTCACCTGGCCTGGCGCGGCTGAGTTCAGCCGGCTCCAATTCTGACCCCGCCCCATCCGGCGCTCAAACCTGGGGCGTAGCTCTTGGTTCGCAAACTTGCCGCTAGGACCCCCGGCTTTCGGGCCACGCTAGCTAGCTACCTGAGTTCAGGGAATTGCCAACCAGCCACGGTGGTTATCTGAGGCTTCCGTGGGGAGACTGTCAGCAGCGAAGAGCAGCAGCGCAGACTGGCGCTAGGGTGTGCGGCTGGCACGCTCTATGGGGGGTGTGTGTGGGGGGGTGTACATCCTTCTATGTCAGATGTCTCTCTAGTCCTGCCGCAGGGCAGGACAGCTGGTCCCAGGACACTAGGACGAGAATGAAATCTTACTGTTTCGTTGTTCTGGCAGGGATTCATTTGATTATAGAATTCATTCATTTGATGCTGGCAGGCATTGAGACTTCTGGCCTCTCCATATCCCAGGACCTGTAGCTAAGGTCTGTGGGTGCCCAGCCGAGGGCTGGGGGCGTGAGGAGACTGAGACGAAGGAGATTCTGGAGGAGAGCCTGGGGAGAGATGGGGACACGGAAGTGGCACGGGCTCGACAGGACGGTGGTTGTGAAAGGATAGCAATGTTGAGATTCTGCTTGAGGAGCTTGTGGATCCTGGGTAGGAGCCCAGGGTGTCAAACAAGCAGAGGCCATTGCCAAGGCAGCCATCCAGTAAACAAGTAGTAACCTGAGCTCCTCCAGGCGGGAGCACGGACAGAGGCCCGCTCCTCCACGCTGCCCACCAGCGTTTAGCGCTCCAGAGACTCTCTGGCTGCAGGGGTCGCGTGCCCCTGGAGGCGGACCAGGGGATTGCAAACGAAGAGGGCAGCGGCGAGGCTCCTCCCCTCCTCTCCCTGGCTGGGAAGGGGGCCAGAACAAATCCCCGCGTTATGATTGGCTCTGAGAAGCCGTGTAGGGTTTGGTCCGGGTGAACTGGGCAGGGGGACATTGCCCCCAAAAGACATCCCGGCTCTGCCAACCTCTTGGCGGGCTGGGCAAAGAAGCTTGGGGTGCCTCCGCCCCTCGCGGCTGCTTAGCGTCATGCGTGACGTCCCCCGTGAAGGCTGGGAGGGCCAACGCCAGCAGAGAGGAAGGCAGAGAGGAAGGCCGATCTGAGAGCTGCGGAGTCTGAACCCCGGAAAACGTGAGTGCCCCTTGCCCCGAGTGGGGTTCGGAATCTGGCGGGGTGCTGGTGGTGGTGGAAGTTGGATGGCTGGGGGCAGAGGAGGCCAGCTTGAAATGCATTCGTAGTCCTGTGGAATTCAGGATCTCGGGGTTTGTGTGGCACAAGGGGAGTGGCTGAGCAGAGGTGGGGGTGTTCAGAAACTGTAGTCACCCGTTCAAGTGTCGGCAGCCCATGGATGTGTGTTTGTGTGTGCTTAACGGTCCTTAAGGCTGGGCTATGCAGGGTGTGGTGTGTCCACCCTGTTAGTGTGTCAGGGCAGGGTGTGTCTGTCTTTGTGTGTGGCTATGTGAGTGTGTGTTGGCCTATGAGGGAGGAGAAGTGTAGTTGGAAGGGATTAGTCATTCTACAGCATTTTGCCTTGCACAGCCAGATGGCTGCTCCAGCTTTCCTCTCTGTGAGGGGTGCAGGGGGCATCTACAAAGTCCTGTTCTTTCTCCAGATAGGTGGCTCAGAGTGTGGTGCATTGGTGTCAGCATCAGCCCTACCCAGCCCAGGGATCAGGGAGAGCTTTAGGTCTTTCTGTGTGGGTTGGAGAAGATGGGTTTGGAGAGGGGACATATAGGTGTCCACATGCAGGCAAATGGCTGCCATCAGAGCTCCCCGTTTGAGATCTGGAACAGATAAGCCCTCAGGTAGCCAATGAGCCCTTGCTTTCCTCTAATCTGAGGCTAGAGTGTGGGTTGCCTTTACCACAGTTCCAAACAGCCTTGGGTTTTTTTAATGTAGGTCTCAGGGCAGCTGGAGCTGGCAGCTGTCACGAGGCACCACTATATAATGCATGTATTATACTTTTTGTGCAGCAGAGCTCATGAGTAGCTGCATGAGATGATTACTTGCTGCAGGTGTGTCAACCACATATAGGTAAATCATCCTTGATGAAAGGCTGCACCAGACCAAAGCCCAAGAAAATCTACTTTTTTTCTTGGATCTCCTCTTCCTCTACTTCCTGTAGTTCCCTAGCCAGGTCATTGCTAGAGAAATAAATAACTCCTCCCTCATTTTGCTTACCTATCTGGAGTCACCTTGAGTTCTTGAAGAGACTGGCCATAGGCTCAGGAATAGGCAGGGCCACCAAAGTGTCTCCAAGTGCAGTTCTCAGACCTAGCCCTGTCCTTGCCTTGCAGGAAATGGGTGACTTGCCCTTAAATATCAACATCCAGGAACCTCGTTGGGACCAAAGCACTTTCCTGGGCAGAGCTAAGCATTTCTTCACTGTTACAGATCCTAGAAATCTGCTGCTGTCTGGAGAACAGCTGGAAGCTTCCCGGAACATTGTGCAGAATTATAGGTGACTTTGTCCCCCCACCCCCACCCCTTTTTTGCCAGTCCTGGAGCTTGAACTCAGGGCCTAGGCACTGTCCTTGAGCTTCTTTTGCTCAAGGGTAGCACTCTACCACTTGAGCCACAACACCAGTTCCATCATTTTCTGTGTAGTGATACTGAGGAATTGAACCCATAGCTTCATGCATGCTAAGCAAGCACTCTACCACTAAGCCACATTCCCAGCCCTCATTTAGTGCATTTTGTAGCTACCTCCTTAAGCTAGGGAGTGACTGGTTCCATTTCCTCAATGCCTTCCTTTTTTTTTTTTTTCCCCTGTTGTGGGGCCTGAACTCTGGGCCTGAGCACTGTCCCTCAGCTCTTCAGCTCAAGGCTAGCGTTCTATCACTTGAGCCACAGCACCACTTCCTGCTTTTTCAGCTTATGTGGTACTGAGGAATCGAACCCAGGGCCTCACACATGCAAGGCAAGTACACTACCACTGAGCCACCTTCCCAGCCCAATGCCTTCCCCTTTTGACCTTCCTGATAACATCACAGATACCTATGAAGGATTTTACAGTACTTGGATTGGGGGGGTACATTGATATTTATGGGAAGGAGCTGTTCTGTACTTCACAAATCCTCTGCAGGCCCTTTCCCACTGCTAGTCCACTCTCTACAACAATAAACAAGTTCAAAGTAGAGTGCCAGAGAGGTAGGAGGCCATATCTCTTGTCTTCAGGAAAAAAAGAAAAAAATCTGTTGTAATGTCCTAATCCTTTTGAAATCATTATAAGCCACTGTTACCAATGACCCAGAAGAAATTGTGTAGTTATAGGGGAAACACAAGTAGGAACCTTCACTTCTGTAAAACTTTAGCTTTCCCCAGATTCATGAAACTCCATTATTCTGGCTTCTCTGTCCAGAGTTCCCAGAGAGGCTGAAGCAGAGCTTGAGAAGGCACGTTTGCCTCCTTAGAATAGCCTAGCAGCTCAATGTCAGCTTCCCTAGGGCTGGTGTGATAACTCCGGGGCTCACCGAGGACCAGCTGTGGAAGGCCAAGTATGTGTATGACTCTGCATTCCATCCGGACACGGGAGAGAAGGTGGTCCTCATTGGCCGAATGTCAGCCCAGGTGCCCATGAACATGACCATCACAGGCTGCATGCTCACCTTCTACAGGCAAGTCTTATCCTATGTCACTTTGCTGAGTGCTGTACTCTAGAGCAGCCCGGGGATTGGGGACTTCTACTCTGGGCCTATGGGTAAAGAACAGTGGATGGGTGGGAATGTGTGTTAGAACTCCTGTTCTTCAGAACTCAGCCTCAGGGGTCCTCTGGCCCCCAAGGCAGTTGGTCCATTTGTGTATGGGGAGTTACCAAGCAGGTTCTGAGGTCAATTGAGTCCCTTCTGAAGGGTTAGCGTACCTTTGAGAGGGTGTGTGTGTGTGTGTGTGTGTGTGTGTGTGCTAATCTTAGGGATTGAACTCAGGTCCTAGTTGCTGTTCCTGAGTTTTTGTGCTCAAAGCTTAAGCACTCTATCAACTTGAGACACAGCTCCACTTCTGGCTTTGGAGGTGGAAGTCTCATGGCCTTTTCTCTCTCGGCTGGTTTCAAACCATGATCCTCAGATCTCAGCCTCCTAAGTAGCTAGATTATAGGTGTGAGACACCAGTTCCCAGGCGTTTGAGATTTAATTATAGGGAGATTCAAAATGAGGGATTCTATAGAAAGGAAAGAAGTAAGTACTGAATCTTTGTTTCCTTAGGAAGACCCCAACTGTGGTGTTCTGGCAGTGGATCAATCAGTCCTTCAATGCTGTTGTGAACTACTCCAACCGCAGTGGCGACGCACCCATCACTGTGCAGTAAGAACCAGACCCCAGCAAGAGGCATAGCACCCTGTTCCCCCAAACTCAAAATGCACTTTCCTGGCTATTCCTGATCCCTGTGGGCCAGTTCTCCTCTCAGCCATACTCTCCAGCCCTTGGCAACATACCTAATAGAGGGCATGAGGTCCTCTCTTGTACCTCTTTAAAAGGAGGAAGCTGAGTGGGAAACTCCCACAGGAGTTTACACTGAAGCTGGGGAGGGCTTTCTCTGCAATGAGCCCACCCTCCCACACCTCAGACATTAAGGATCTAGCATCTCCCTAAAGCAAACAGCCAAATGCTGAACTCTTCATCTTGCTCTTGTGATCTGAATCTTCTATCCACAGGCAGCTGGGAACAGCTTATGTGAGTGCTACCACTGGGGCTGTGGCCACAGCTCTGGGACTCAAATCCCTCACCAAGGTAAAGGGTTCCCCCTTACCCCATTCATCCTGTACCTACTTTTCTCCCTAATATCCTACAATCTGGACCTACAAGCTCCCTAGATTTCTCCCAGGAATTTCTCCTTACTGCATGGCCCTCAGGATCATTGAACATCATTTTTCCTCCCCAGCACCTACCCCCCTTGGTTGGCAGATTTGTGCCCTTTGCAGCTGTAGCTGCTGCCAATTGCATCAACATTCCCCTGATGAGGCAGAGGTGAGTAGCCCTGGCTGCTGGTACAGGTATGCCGTGTGTGTGTGTGTGTGTGTGTGTGTGTGTGTGTGTGTGACATACCAGCCAATCATCCAGCCCAGCACGAGGGACAATCTCTTCCTTCACTAGACTTGAGCTGCCGTGCTCTGTCTCCATCCCAGTGAATGAGGATCAACCCCAAGGTGCCATAAGACTAAAATAGGAGACAGACAGACATAGAGTCACACAGAGTAAAACTGATCTGGGCCCTGATGGAAGCGTGTCTCTGAGCAGCAACAAGACTAGTAGAGTCCCACAATTTGCATCAGAAGGAAGGGGAATATAAAATGATTAGGGAAAAAGTGATTAAAATGAAGCCAAAATGTACGTGATTTCTCTCGGTTCAGTATCAAAAATATCAGGCACACTTCTGGCAATTACAGCACCAGGGTTCAGACCATAAGCACCCCACACCACTCTAATAGTTTTACTTATAATATTCTGGAAAAGTATGTAGGGAAAAAAATACCAGGGGCATTCACAATGGTTGCATCTCAAGATGACTGGCTACAGCTATGTCAAGCTGAAATCCATATTCTCTGGAACACTTGGGTGGGAAAACTAGCATTTGAATCTTGCGTGTGAGGGGACTCTGGGAAGCAGCGGACTATGTGGGTGGGACTTAGGACTTATAATCTGACCCTGTCCACTTCTCTTCCCAGGGAGCTGCAGGTGGGCATCCCAGTGACCGATGAGGCAGGTCAGAGGCTTGGCCACTCAGTGACTGCAGCCAAGCAAGGAATCTTCCAGGTGGTGGTATCAAGAATCTGCATGGCAATTCCTGCCATGGGTGAGGCAGGGGTGGCTAGGTGGGGCATGGGAGGCTCTGGGAGAAGGGAGGGGGTGAGGTTCTCAGAGTTGTCTGAGGAGTCAAGGGGCTCTGGGAAGAGCAGGAGGGGCTGTGAAGGAAAGGTCCTTCATCCTTCCTTCATGTTCTTGACTTTCACTCCACTAGTTCCTCTCTCTTCCCTAATCTCCCCTCAGCCATTCCCCCAGTGATCATGGACTCTTTGGAGAAGAGAGATTTTCTGAAGGTAGGTACTCACCTGTTGGTAATGGAAGCAGTAGCCAGTCCTACCTGCCTCCTTCTGCCCCTGTACTTTCATTCATTCAGTAAAAATGATAGCTGGGGCAGGGGTGTGGGTAGGGGAACATTAAAGGGACAGGAGGAGAGCTGGGAAGGTGGTTCAGTGGTAGAGTGCTTGCCTCGCATGCACGAGGCCCTGGTTTTGATTCCTCATAAGCAGAAAGAGCAGAAACTGGTGCTGTGCCTCAAGTGGTAGAGCACTAGCCTTGAGCTGAAGAGCAGAGGGACAGCGCCCAGGCCCAGAGTTCAGGCCCCATGACAACCAACCAAAAAAAAAAAAGGGGGGGGGACAGAAGAAGAAGACAGGGAAGGAAAGAAATGGCTTTTATCCTGAAAGAAATATGGTCATACTTAATATCATACTCATGTCGTCATCGACCATCAGATAGACACACCCACACACACATACACACACATGCATATACATACATACATAGGTCAGGGAAACAAGGCACAGGAATGCCAGCAGCTCTGGCTTAGTGTTTGAGTCATTTATTCAGAAATACTCATTGAATAGTATTTATGCACCAGACATGTTTTAGGCATGGGAAGATACAGTTCAGAAAAAGAAAGTCATAAGGTAAACAAATGCAAGCTATTCAGTATACATTGTATGGAAAATGACCTATGTAACTTGTGGGCAGGAATGGGAGAGGGAAACTGGGGAAAAGCCAAGGAAGGGGTAACATTGTCCAAAAAAAGAAATGTACTCATTGCCTGACTTATGAGCTGGAAACCCCTCTGTACAACACCTTCATAAGAACAATAAACTTATGCTTTTAAAAAAGACAATCATGGGACTGGGAATATGGCTTAGTTGTAGAATGTTTGCCTTGCATGCATGAAGCCCTGGGTTTGATTCCTCAGTACCACATACACAGAAAAAGCCAGAAGTGGTGCTGTGGCTCAAGTGGTAGAGTGCTAGCCTTAAGCAAAAGAAGCTCAAGGAAGTGTCCAGCCCCAGAATTCAAGCCCCAAGACTAGCCAAATAAATAAATAAATAAAAAGTAACCAATAAACACCTCATTTTAGATTGTGGCATGTGCTTTATAAGAAGCCAGTGGAGCAACATAATTAATTGAGGCAAGCACTTTAGATAGGATGGTCAGAGGAAGGGCCCTGGAAACTGAAAAGGATAAAAAGGAGACAGATAAAGAGCTCAGAAAAGTGTTTTGGCTAATGCAAAAGCTCTGTGACAGGAACAGGCTTGTACATTTGAGGAACAGAATGCGGTGCTTGGAACTGGAGTGAATAGAGAAGGGTGTACTAACAGATGTTTGGAAAGGGACAGATTCATAACACTGGGATGAGAGGAAGCCTGTGGGGCTCAGAAGAGGCTGAAGAAAGCAACTCCTGGAAAGAAGGAGGGAAAGGAAAGGTCAGGAAGTACATGGGAATCAGTCCTGAGAAGTGACAGTGTATGATGTGTAGCCTGGCTATATGACTTTAGCCTAGCTAGAGTGAAAGGTTGAGGTCTGGAGAGCCTAGCCCTTTTAAGGGCTTAGGAGAAGAGGCTCAAGGCAGGGCCATGTGAATAAAATGGGATGTGGTTTAGGGGACGAGAGCCATTCCACTGTCTCTGTTTCTCCACAGCGCCGTCCCTGGCTGGGGGCACCTCTGCAGGTGGGACTGGTAGGCTTCTGGTAAGTGCGCGAGGAGTCAGCTGGGGGACTTACATTCAACTGCATGTGTCTTGGGCACCTGTAGAGCACAGTGTGTGTTAGGAGGTACTAAAGGGTGGCTCCTGTCCTTGAAAGTCAAGAGTTCAATTGAAAGGGGCGTCCAGTCTATTGTGGACATATATACCCTTCAATACCATCCAGGAGTTTCCTGTCTACTTAATTCTGATTTTAGTTCTTTTTGGCCTCAGACCTTTTGATTAATGCTGGAGAGCATCTGTCCTCAGTCCGAACCTAACTAATGGGTTTAATGTTCCTAAAAGATCTTGGGCTTAATGTTCCCCAAACTCCTTTGGCTCCAATCCCCACTCTAGGGGTCTGTATGTGGCTCTGTGGTACAGCATTCACCTAGCATACCTAAGGCCCTGAGTTTGATCCTCAGCACTAAAGTCCCTCCAGGGACTATCTCAGTGAGGTGGGTGCCAGGAGGAAACGCAATGAGATCGAAGTTTCATGAATCTTTCAATATTCTTCTCTCCCAGCCTGGTGTTTGCCACCCCGCTGTGCTGTGCCCTGTTCCCCCAGAGGAGGTAAGTGCTGCCCCGAGGTTCAACCAGCAGTTTCTGGACAGTTTTCTACATCTCTGGACCAACTGATCCTCGGGCCCTTAGTCTGCCTCAGGGAGATCTGGCAGGCACTCAGTTGATTTGAAGGTGGGGGAATGATAGCAAGCCAGCTCTGGGAGAAGGATGGTGACCCCTAGGCTTGAGTGGCTGAATCCAGGGGACATTCAGCTGGCCTGTGCTGTTCTCTTGCAGCTCCATACATGTGACCAAGCTGGAGCCAGAGCTGAGAGCTCAGATTCACAAGCAAAACCCCAGCATCGAGGTGGTTTACTACAACAAAGGGCTTTGAAGAGGGTCAGCCTTTGTCCCCTCCTTCCCTCCTTGGCCTGATGTTTTGGTGCCACCTTGCCATCTCTGCCACTTGTCCATCTGCCTAGTTTTGGGCAGGGGGCTTAGTAGGGAAGCAGCCATTAAGACCAGCAATCTGCTAGGCTAGGGAAGGTGCCCTGTAAGCCTTTTTCTCTCCTCTCTGGTTTCAAAGAGAAGAATAACATAACCTTTCCCTTTGTGCTTGTCTCTACATGTATACATACATGACACAAGCATCTTTCTAAATTTGATCCTAGACACTAAGAGTAGACATGTATCAGAACATCCACAGAATGTCAGGACAGAGTCTGAGGGACATAAGCAGGCCAAACTGGGACAAATCCTTCAGGTTTCTGATACCTGGCTCTCAAAGCTGCCTCAGGAACTGGCCTGACAGAGAAAGCAGTGTTGGGATGAGGCAGGCAAAAGGCTTGTGAATCCTTCTGACCATTCCCCATATCCTGGAAAGCTCCATTCCCTCTCCTCTATCAGAACAAAGGAGTCAGTATCTTGTTCTTGCTGCCTCCCCATGTCTTCCACACTTAGTGTAGGTGCCTTTATGTACAACGTTAGATCTTAGTCTGCTGGGATGACATGGCCTCAAACAGAAATCCTACACTCCCATATTCCTCTCCCCCCCTGAAAGCTGCCACTACTCACATCATTCATAGAGGGAGACTCATAGAGTACAAGTACTCCAGCTCCACAGGCCTCATATGTACAATCTAAAGACAAGAAATTCTGTGTTCCATTGACTTTTCTTACAATCGCTAACAACCCCTCTTAGCTTCTTTCGTTTCTTTTCTTCTTGTCTTTTGGAAGTGTGTGGCATTAGACTCAGGCCTCACATGTGCTAGGCAACTGCTCTACCGCTGACCTACATACTCTCAGCCTTTCCCTCTTTTGCTTAAGGCCTGGCCTTGCCTTTTTCATCAAGGCCCTGTTGGCTAGACCAAATGGAAGATAGGTTTGGGGATGGCATAAGGTGTGGTGTTTCTAGTCCAGAGTGTAATTAGATCTCAACTCTGGCCTCTATGACTTCTGGCTAAAGAGGTAGATGAGGACAGATGAAAAGACTCCAGTGGTATCCTGAAACCACTCTCCTGCTCCTCCTAACCCATTTCCTCCCAGTGATAACAGCTGTGATACCATGGTGAGTCAATAAATTGTAAGCCTGTCTACTTCTTAAACCTTCATTTGTTCCCTGATCTGAGTGCCCAGGAATCCCTTGCCTTTCTTTCCTCCAAATCCTGGTCCCTACCTATCTGTAGGGAGCCTCATTTCCCAGCAGGGGGTGCTCTGAGCTTAGAAATCCACACTCTCATTCGCACCTTTTCCCTCTTCACTAGCGGAGGGGGGTGGAGCACGCATTCTACATTATTCAAGCTCTGGGCTTTTTGTTTCCTTCAGGCATTTGGCATGAGGTGGTGACCTCTAGTACCCAAAGAGGCCTCTAGAGTGGAAGGAAGAAGGCCAAAGACTGCCATTCCCTATCCCTTCAAGGAAATAATTCCTCACCTGCCATTTTTCCTTCCACCCAAAACTCTCACATGAATTACTGGGAAGCAATATTTAGGGCTAACTGATCCCACAGTGACCTAAGGTGAATCTTGACCTGGGTCTTGGGGTAAGTAAAAGTTAGCTTGTCTGGGAGGCAGGGCCAACACCAGCTCCTGTTACAGGTCCTATTGGTTGGTGCCAGGCTCAATGAAGCCAAATGCTTTAAGTGCATTATCTATTTTGATCTTCATAACCCAGCCCTGTGAGGCACACATGTTATACCCACTCTTGGAAGAAAAAAAGAAGTTTAGAGGCATTCAGAAAGTTGCCCATGGCTCCACTAGGACATGAAAGAGGATTCAAGCTGAGCTGTGTGACTCTAAACTACTACTGTATTGACCTTCCTCTCACCTGTGAATTACCAGCCAAATCTGGTCGTTTTTCGATCCCTTTGACACCCACTTCTGGGACCAGTTTGTTTACAGACCAGCAAAGTGACAAGTACACAAATGTACACAAACCTTTTACTAAGGCCTCTAAAGATCTTCCAAATTTGACTTTCATCGCCTACATATGAGCAAAGAATCCCCTATTCTTTACTAAATATGGCATAACACTTAAATTACCCATTCTAATTCCATCTCATTCTGCCAATCAGACCAGTGCCTCCCACCAAGCCCACTAGAACCACTGAGTCAACTCTGAAAGCTTCTTTCTGTGGTTCAGCTTTGACCTTTGGGAATCCCCTTGAGAAGAATCCTTGCATTTTTATCAGAGCATAAAACCATTTGGGGAGTGAGGGGCAGCAATCTGGGAAAAACAAAATTGACAAGAACATTTTATAATATAATTACCTGTTCTCTGAAATAATCCTGAACCACATCAGAGAGAAAACTGGAAGGGCACTAGTGGCCAGTTACAAAAGTCCTCTTCTCATATTTTCCTCCTTTGTTCCACATGTTTCTCAAAATACAGCAAAAGTTAGGGGCAGAGTACTTAACAGGCTCTCTAGGAACCAATCCTAGCCAGGTATACTCTCCAAACAGTCTCTATGTACTTAGAATTTTCCTCAGAAATAAGCATTTGGGAAATGAGGGCAGGGAAAGTGAGTAGGAGTGAGATTGATTGGAATATATTATAAACAGTTGTGGAACTGAAACAATGAAATTTCCCCTTTATAAATAATGTCAGCTAATTTTTTTTAAATCAGCATTTGGGCAGAGGCAGGAGTTTCTCATTGTGTCACTTTTCTTCTCTCTTTGATGGGCCTCCTGTTTCCTAGTACTTAGACTTCAAGGACCTTCTGTGAGAACTTGCATTGGTGTCCTTGGTCTTCCCTCCCCAGTCTCCCTGCTTTCACCTGGCCTCATCTGTCTCAGAGTCCCTACCCTGCCTATTATTAAGACCAGAAAGAGGCCAGGAGTAGTAATTAGTGCCTGTAATACCCACTATTCTGAAAGTGGATATCAGAAGGATTGAGGCTCCAGGTCAGACTGTGTACAAAATATGGTGGTGTCTGCCTGTCAGCTATGCAGAAGTAGGAGGATCCCATCCAGGCCTGACAAGGCAAAATTGGAGAGCTAGTCCCAAAAATAATTAAAGCAAAAAGCGTTGAAGGTATGGTTACTTAGCAAGTAACTCCAGGCCCTGAGTTCAATCCTCAATACCACCACCAATTTTTTAAAAAAGAAAAAAAAGTCTAGAAAGATCATAACTCTTCTGAGAGGAAAAAAAAAGAAAAAGAAAAAGCTTGGGTCCTAGAGCCCTGGCCAGGTGGGGCTCAGATTGCGCCTTTCACGAATTGGATATCGATATCAGCTGCTTAAGGCCAGCCTCATCTCAATCCCTGTGGGGTAATACCCTGTCCCAACTTGGCCTTAACCAGAGGCCTCTACGTCTGAACAAAGCCCCTTTTCCTCATAGGTTAAGTCGATCAGCCTCAGGCTCCGCCCTCAGAGCCTGTCAGTTATTTATTGGGTCACGCCCCCTTCAGTACCCTGTCCTATCCAGGAACGGTCCCGCCCTCTTGGTTCCTGTCGCTCAAAGCTAGCTCGGCTCCACCTCCTCGTTTCCGGAACAACAACTTTCGTACCAACTGGCCGCAAACTCAGCGCACTTTTCCTTATCCTAGACTGGAACCTGCGATCTGGACCCCGTTTACTCTCGACCTCGGTCCTGGACCGCTAAATTTCCCCCAAGCCTCATTCCTTTCCAGTCTGGAAATCCAGCTGCCTGGCGCTTCCCTTTGACTTCCCGCCCGGAAACCCGCAGGTTTTCGAGGAATCAAGCCTCCTCCCTGTCTGTCCGTCCTCCCGCTGGTTCCTGTCGCCGTTCTCGCTCCGCCCTAGCACCCAGCGGCTCAGAAGATATTTTCTGAGCCATTGTATTGTTAATGTGGCTCTGTGCCCTGCACTGGCTAGAAATGGACAATCAGGTGGACAGAGTAACCAGCTTCCCACCTCCTGGGACGCGGCGGGTGCCTGACAGGTAGTAAGGCCCCCGCGCCCTAACCTCTTCACTATTGCTAGAGGTTGTGGGGGGGATCTTGGTCCATCCGGTCAGTACCAAGCAGGGAGCTTCCCAGGATGCTCCCTTCACACTTTTTTTCTCTCCTCATTTCCCGTCCCAGCCCAGGTTCACTGAGCCCCAGCTTTCGGCTAGGTCTTCCTCTGGCTTCCTTTTTCCAACCTTGTCAGGCCAACGAGTATTGTAATTTAATAACTCTAGGAAACTGTGGAAGAACCTTGCATAGCTTGGGCTAAACACAACCCCATCCCACCACACCAAGAAGCTCCTGCAGGGTTATGTATTTGAGAGTTTGCTATGTTGGTCTATAAATTAGTCATCTCTGTTAACTTTTTGCTGACTGAAGACCTTCCTTCTGTTACCAAAAAGGCTTCAAGGACAATTTTTATGTCTCAGAACATTGCTGGTTTGTTTTGTGCTGAGGATCAAACCCTTGACCCTGCATATGTTAAGCATGCATTTGTACCACTGAGCTATACTCCCTTCTCAGCTCTTACACCCTTTTTTTAGGGGGAGGGGTCCAGTCGTGGGGCCTGAACTCTGGGCCTGGGCGCTGTCCCTCAGCTCTTCAGCTCAAGGCTAGCGCGCTACCATTTGAGCCATAGCACCACTCTTGGCTTTTTTTCTTTTTGCTTATGTGGTGCTGAGGAATCGTACCCAGGGCCTCATGCATGCAAGGCAAGTGCTCTACCACTGAGCCACCTTCCCAGCCCCTAATTTGTTGTTTTTTTTTGGTCGGTCCTGGGGCCTGAACTCTGGGCCTGGGCACTATCCCTCAGCTCTTCAGCTCAAGGATAGCACTCTACCACTTGAGCCACAGCACCACTTCCAGCTTTTTTTCTTTTTGCTTATGTGGTGCTGAGGAATCGAACCCAGGGTCTCATGCAAGCAAGGCAAGCGCTCTACCACTGAGCCACCTTCCCAGCTCGTCTTACATCCTTTTTATTGTGCTAAAAAACCCTTTAATGCAAAACTAACCACCTTAGCTAGGTGCCAGTGGCCTGTATCTAGAATTGAGTCTGAGATCTCAGGATCATAATTCAAATCCAGCCCAGGCAGAAAAGTCCATAAGGTTCTTTTTTGTTGTTGGAGGTCATGGGCCTCAAACTCTGGGCCTGAGCCCTGTCCCTTAGCTCTTCAGCTCAAGGCGAGCGCTCTACCACTTGAGCTAGAGCACCACTTCCAGTTTTGTGATGGTTTATTGGAGCTAAGAGTTTTCACGGACTTTCCTGCCCAGGTTGGCTTTGAACCATGATCCTCAGATCTCAGCCTCCTGAGTAGCTAGGATTACAGGCGTGAGCCACTGGCACCCAGCTTCCATAAGATTCTTGTCTTGAATTAACCACCAGTGGTAGAGTGCCATCCTTGAGCAAAACAAAAACAAAAACCTGAAGACAGCATTCAGGCCCTGAGGTAAGCCCTAGTAATTGCACACACAGACACAGACACACATAATACACACAAAAGTTAATCATCTTAACTATTTTGAATGTACAGTTCTGTAGTGTTACATATATTTTCACATTGTTATGAGACACATCCCAGAACTTTTTCTTGGAAACCTGAAACTATGCCCATTAAACAGCTCATATCTTCACTGTGTGTGTGTGGGGGGGGGGGTCTGTGTGTGTGTGTGTGTGTCTGTGTGTGTCTGTGTGCCATTCCTGGGGCTTGAATTTAGGGCCTGGACACTATCTCTGAGCCTTTTTTGCTCAAGGCTAGCACTCTAATACTTGAGCCACAGATCTACATCTGGCTTTTTGGTGGTGAATTGGCAATAGAGTTTCACAGACTTAACAGCCTGAGCTGACTTTGAACTGTGGTTCTCAGATCTCAGCCTCCTGAGTAGCTAGGACTACTGGTATGAGCCACCATACCCAGCTTATATCTTCACTCTTAAACGCTCTCTCCCCCCCACCCCCAGCACCTATCACAGTGCTTGATCTGCAGTAGGTACTCAAAACTTGCTGAATAAGGAATCTGAATACAAAAGTATCTAAGCCACACTTATATGTTGATATTAGATAAGCTCACAAATTTAGTACTTCTCAGTCTGTTTTACATCTCATCAAACCTCAAAAAGTAACACGTATATGAGAGAATCAAGACTCACAGCTCTGGTGATTTTCAGTGTGGATTATAGGGAGCCTGGCCT